ACAAGAAGCCCCCAGAGCACGACGCCATACAGCCGATAAGCCGTGAAAACGATGAAATTGTGACTGCTGACCTTAGTGTTGTTCTCGACGGCCAGAAAGTAACAGCTCTATTCGACACTGGTACCGACTTCTCCATTATCAGTCAGGACCTCGCCGACAGCCTCAGAAAAGTGAAGACGCCGTGGACGGGCCCTCGTATAGGAACAGCAGGAGGCCAGTTATTGATGCCCTCGGGAAGATGTACCACAAGAATTGACATCGGAGGTTCTCCTTTCACTGCGTCGTTCGTCGTTATCACCGCATGCTGCAGAGACGTAATTCTTGGCATGGACTTTTTACGGGAATAGGGTGCCGTCATCAACATACCAGAAAGCTTGATTACGTTTTACAACAGTTCGGGCTTACCCCATTTTCCAGAGGTGCGATGAAACCAACTGCGTCTTACTGATGACGATGTGGTTCTCCCTCCGAGGTCATGTACGCTTGTTTCTGTGGCCGCCGCTGCTCAGTTTGACGCCGAAGGAGTTGCAGATCGAATAAGCTCGCTGCTCGTCACCCACGGTATTTCTGTCGCACGAGGTATTGTCAGAGTTGCTGCTGGACGCACAGACTTGCTGCTGACTAATTATAGCGCTGAGCGCCAGCACCTTCCTAAAGGGACGGCTGTCGCTTACTTCGACGATGTCGTAGATGCCGAAGGCTGCTTGGCGGTAGTCGACGAGTCGCTAAATCTTGATTCAGCGCCTGTTCTGGACGTTAGCGTTACTTTGCCGAAAGACGACCGACGCAGACTCCTTGAGTTACTGGCCGAATTTCAAGACTGCGTTTCGACAACATCAAGAGTTGGCCGCACGCCTCTAACCAGGCATCGAATAATTACCGAGGAAACGGCGAGACCTACTCACCAGAACCCTTATTGCGTAGCTCCAAAAGAACGTGAAGCGATACAACACCAGGTAGACAGAATGCTTGAAGATGACGTCATTCAGCCTTCACAGAGCCCCTGGGCGTCACCTGTAGTCCTCGTCAAGAAAAAGGATGGCAGCATGCGCTTCTGTGTGGATTACCGGAAGCTAAATAAGGTGACCAAGAAAGACGTATATCCAGTACCGCATATAGACGACTCTCTCGACAGACTTCGACATGCTCGATACTTCTCTTCAATGGACATGCGGAGTGGATACTGGCAAATCGATGTGGACCTGAGAGACCGCGAGAAGACCACTTTTGTGACACCAGATGGGTTATATGAATTTAAGCTCTTGCCATTCGGTCTGTGCTCAGCCCCTGCTACCTTTCAAAGACTCATGGATACCGTGCTTTCTGGGTTGAAGTGGAAAACATGCTTAGTATATCTGGTCGACGTCATAGTGTTTTCCGCGACGTTTGACGAGCACCTTGAAAGACTTGAGGTGGTCTTACGAGCCATACAGTCCGCGGGCCTGACGTTGAAGCCTAATAAGGGCCACTTTTGCTACGAAGGGCTGCGATTTTTTTGTCATGTCGTCAGTCATGCTGGTATTCGTCCCGATCCTGAAAAAATCGCAGCCGTTGAACAGTTTCCTATGCCGATCAATAAAAAGGCTGTCAGACGCTTTCTCGGCCTCTGCGCATATTATCGACGATTTATCGCGGACTTCGCACGCATAGCATCACCGCTAACTCGCCTCACAAGAGAAGACGTCACCTTTGAGTGGAATAACGAAGAGGAAGCTGCTTTTAACGATCTTCGCCAGCGACTACAAACACCCCCAGTCCTTGCCCACTTCGACGAGAGAGCCCCTACGATGCTTCACACTGATGCTAGCGATGTTGGTCTGGGAGCTGTGCTTGTGCAGCAGCAAGAGGGCGCAGAAAGGGTAATCGCTTACGCAAGCAGAACGTTAACACGTGCTGAGGCTAATTACTCCACGACTGAGAAGGAATGTCTCACCGTGGTATGGGCGGTTACGAAATTTCGTCCGTATTTTTATGGCCGCCCCTTCAAAGTAATTAGCGACCACCACTCACTGTGTTGGTTAACTAATCTTAAAGACCTTACCGGACGATGAGCGCGTTGGAGTCTCAGGCTGCAGGAATTCGACATGGCAGTTTTACATAAGTCAGGGAAGCGACATATGGACGCCGACTGTTTGTCCCGTTCACCCATTGAGTCGGCAACCCTACCCGAAGAGAAGGAAACATCATTTCTCGGTGTCCTCGACACGACCACCGTTGCGCAGCAACAACGAGACGATGCTGAGTTGCTTGGCTTAATTACCTACTTGGATTGCAGATCTCGGAAGGCGCCAAGAGTTTTCGCAAGAGCGTTGTCATCATTTTGTTTGCGTGGCGGAGTTTTCTATAAAAGAAATTTTTCGTCGATGGGATCTGCCTATCTGCTCGTCATCCCCACAGCCCTTCGCACCGAAGTACTGAAAGCATGCCACAACGAGGTTACCTCTGGCCACTTGGGTTACACAAGAACGTTGGCCAGGGTACAGCAAAGGTATTACTGGCCAAGACTAACCACAGCCGTGAAGCACCACGTTCGTACCTGCCTCGACTGCCAGCGACGCAAGTCACCGCCAACGATACCAGCTGGCCTCCTGCAACCCGTACAGGTCCCAATGACTCCATTCCACCAGATCGGCATGGACATTTTGGGCCCACTCCCTACTTCTACTGCAGGCAACCGATGGGTTATAGTCGCGACGGATTATTTGACCCGTTATGCTGAAACATAGGCTATCCAGAGAGGTACAGCAGCGGAGGTGGCAAGATTTTTCATCGAGAATATTGTACTGAGGCATGGTGCACCAACCGTTGTAATTACAGACAAAGGAACCGCATTTACAGCAGCTCTTTTGGACCATGTTTTGATGCTGAGTGGAACAACGCATCCTAAGACCACCGCATACCACTCACAAACAAACGGGCTGACAGAGCGTCAAAACAAAACCACTGAAGACATGCTTTCGATGTACGTTGACGTCGAACACAAAAATTGGGATACAATCTTGCCTTACATAACATTTGCTTACAACACGGCCAAGCAAGAAACGACCCGCATGACACCTTTCAGCTTCGTTCATGGACGAGAAGTACGAACCATGTTAGATGCAATGTTACCGCACGAAGGCGACGACATCGTCCCGGACACCGACACGCTTACGGAACGCGCAGACGAAGCTAGGCAACTTGCACGTTCACGGATCAGCCAGCAGCAAGACTACGGATCAGGCCGCTACGAGGCTCACTGCAGAACAGTCATCTACCAAACGGGCGACAAAGTATGGGTTTGGACGCCCATACGAAAACGAGGACTTTCCGAAAAACTCTTAAGAAGATACTTTGGACTGTACCTAGATGTGCGACGACTGAGTGATGTGACTTACGAAGTTGTTCCTGATTGTTCGTATATTACAAGGCGTCGCCAGCACCATCCTGAACTCGTTCACGTAAGCCGCATGAAACCCTACGTAGCGAGTGATTGCATAATACTTTACTTTAGAAAAAAAACTGCATTACAGACAGTGAATCGGGGCGATGCTCTTTAAAAGAGAGGAAAATGACGCGCGTTTTTATGTGGACGATAACGATGATAGGGCATTTAGGGGGCACAAGGTAGTGGGCCTCTAGCTTGTCTCGAGGCCGAAGAAGACGATCTTGTGGCTCAGCTGTTGAGGACACGCTGTTTTCGTCGTCCCAAGGTGTATCTGTGTTGTATTCGCGTTGTACCGCGACAATATATATATATATATATATATATATATATATATATATATATATATATATATATATATATATATATATATATATATATATATATATATATATATATGTGTGTGTGTGTGTGCGTGTGTGTGTGGTGTGTGTTGTTACTGCATATGTGATTTGGGTATGAGCCTGTGGGTAGCTGGGAACAGGAAGATTAGAGAAGGGGACGTTCGGATAGCGAGATAGGCTTCCGGTGCACAACCCCTTGAAGTCTACCAGTACGCTACAGGCTGATAAATACACCACTAAACGTAACAGATTGGTGGAGGTGCTGGGTACAGCACGTCGACAAATGACGGAGCAACAGCTGTTTAAACTTCGCCGGAGCCATTGTATTGCTGGTCTGCCACCGACAACAACCATCATGACCGAGAGCGAAGGTCACGGCTCCTCAACCACGCAAAGGTATGCCAGCTGCACCTCGGTATCGCTACATGGAACCCCGCCCGATCGCGGGAAGAGCAGGGGAAGATGTGGATGCGCGGCTGACACGTTACAAAAGGGTGAGCCGGTACAACGGCTTGAATCCCACTGACCACCTGGAGAATGTCGCGCTGTTTCTCACGGAAACCGCCTTGATAAGGTACGAAAACCACGAAGATTTCTTAACAACGTGGGATCGTTTCGCCGAAGAACTCAAGAAATGCTTCGGCGACTCTGATTCGAAAAAGAAAAGTGCGGAACGCACGTTGGCTCAAAGAGCCCAGACTCCTGGAGAAATGTGTATCACCTACATAGAGGAGGTTCTGATGCTCTGTAAGATCATAGACCCGCATATGTCTTAAGAGGACAAGGTTGGACACCTTCTAAAGGGTATAGCAGAGGACGTCTACAATTTTTTGATAGGCAGGGAAGACCTCACTTCCGTATCCACCGTCCAACGTCACTGCCGTACTTTCGAGAAGCTGAAGGCCCGTCATATTGCCCCGAAATTCGGTAGTGATAAGCCCGGGGAGGGGTTGAGGCTGCCACCCAGGATCCGGCGAAGGACGACTCTTGCGACGCGTCTCACGAACAATAGAAGATGCGTTTATTTACATATTTGTAAGAGAAGTACATTGCAACGAGAGCGTACTGACGCGCCTTTCCATCACAAGGGCCCAGAGCGCACTCGAGACGAGCGGGCCAGCGAAGTCCAGAGAGAGAGAGCCCAGCGCACTCCCGACACGCTCCTTTTATAGCCGTCCGTGCACGCGCTAGACGCCGACTGCATCCAGCAAGCCTGCCGATGCGCGTTCCTTTCAGCGCACCAAGATATTTCCCGCGTTCCTGTGGAACGTGGACAGCGTCAGGCAGGTACGCCGATGGGCGTCCCTTGCATGCCGGTTTCTTGTATTCCCGGTTATGACAGCTCGTCTGCCGTCCGAAGAGGTCACGTAAGGGCTGCAGTGGCGCTGCTCCCTGAAGTGGCCGTAGTCCGTCTCCGTAGGCGCAACACTGTCCACCACAACACAGAGACACTCACCACATAGCAGGCCTTACGGTAGGCGCACCTCGACGTCATAAAGAGGCCAAGCACATCACATGCTTGGTCACAGCATGGGACTGTCCACAGGTTCAAAGGCCCCATCACCGCTGCCTGGTCGTCCACTGGCGGAAGGAAACAGGAAGCCCTACCGAAGGGCCACAGTCTGCAATAGCTGGTTCGTCGTGTCCACCATGTCATGCTGTTAGACCGGTAGGCATAGCAATCTTCTGCCTGCCTTTAGCGGGGAAGACGCTCTCAAACCGAACATCCACACTGAGAACACTCAGCTCTCCCGAGAATCACCAGGTGTAACTTGCTGCAAGGCTCGTAAGTTATTGCACAACAGAAGACTAAACTATGGTGGTGACCAAGTGAACTTGAACAAAGAAATAAAAACGCACTCACACACGCACAAAGCTAAACAGTAGCGCTTGCGTCTGACTCTCGGTCATCTGTTCGACGCGAATCCTCATGCTTTGAGGACTTCTCGGAGGAGCGCTCTTCTGAGTGGTCTCTACGGTGGCGACTGCTGTGCCTGTGCTCGTGGCGTTCTCTTGAAATGCTCCGTCGTCGGTCTTTGCTGCTGTGCCGAGTGTGCTGTTTGCTGCTGCTGCCACTGCTTCTATGCTTGTCTCTCTCCTTTCGTCGTCGGCTTGAAGATGACGGTGACCTTTCTTCAACAATCTCACCTTCTTCACGGTCCTCATTATTGCTGTTCTTCCGCCGGTGACGACGGTGCTTCCGATGCTGACAAGTTTCTTTCTTGTGCTTTGTTTTCCGCTCCTTATGCACTGGGCATTCACTGTCCTCTGACGCTTGTCGCCAAGGCTCCTCCTGCTTCCTGACAACAGCTTTAAGATTGTCCACCAAGCAATCTGTGCTACCAGGCTCCGATATATCCTCCATGCCATTACTGGTATATTATTGAAGGCCTTCTTCTTCAAAAGAAGATATATATTCAGTATCAAGGAGGTTGCCCAGGAGGACATCACCATCATCTGCCTCTGTAGACTCCTCTGGTGCAGGGGAAGCGATGTCGTCACTTGGTCCACCAGCTGCCAAACTGCTCTCTTCCAGCTCTTCCCCCTCCTCTTCTTCCGGTTCAGCCTCGGGACTTTCAATTTCCTTTGGCGAAGATGCATTGTCCTGTGTGTCTTCTTCGTTGCCTTCATTGATGTCTGCGATCCCCTTTTCGTCGTTTTCTTGCCCCTCTTCACCTTCTCCTGAAACCTCTGCTGATTGCTCATCTGCTGGCAATTCTTCAGGAGAGACAGGTGCCGAGGAGTCCTCTCCACTTTCAATAGGTGATGCCCCAGGGACCACATCTTCCGTTGGCGATGCCGGCACATCAACAGGGGTAGGAGGAGATGGTGTCGCTTCTAGTGGAGATGATGGACTTTCTTCAGCAGGGGTAGACGCAGGAGCATCACGCATGAATGAAGAGTCCTCTTCGATAGGGGATGCTGGAGTGTCTTCTACAGGCACTGAACCTGTTTTTTCCTCTTGAGGGTTCATCTGTAAGCTTTCTTCCTCTTGAGCTTGAGGCTGCACTTCTGGTTTTTCATCTTCCCCCTCTTCCTCTACCCGACCCTCCTCCACCTCATCGCCATCTCCTGCTTCATCACCACCATCATCATTTTCTTTGGCTCCATTACTTTCATCTTCACCCTGTTCACCCTCCTTTGAGTTTCCATCCTCGACAATTTCCAGCCCACCCTCTTCATCTGACACCTGTGATGCGCCCTCATCGTTCTCAGGGGATGGGCTCCTCACATTGTCCGTTTCCAGGATGGGACCTTCCTCCTCGCTCTCTTTGTAAGGCTGCAAGAGGTCCCTCATGCTCACTCGTGCGCTTGCCTGAATCTCTGCATTTTCTGTTCCCAGATCACTAGCGCCTTTTGCCTCTGCAATCTTAAGCTGAAGCCGCAAGCGCTCAAGCTCCCTTTCTTGGCTTTCCGCTTCTTCTTTGCGCCTCACGGTTTCCCTTTCAAACATAAGGCGCTCTCGCTCTTTGACTTCTTGTGCCCTTTTCATCCTCTCCTGAATTAGCTCCCAGCACTCGGCGAGCTCCTTCGCATCTGCGCAAGAATCCTTAACCGCCTGTATTAAAACTGGCTTTCTATGTATAGTCGCCACCTCAATCCCCAGCTCCTGGCACAACAGCACTAAATCCGGTTTCCTCAATTTGTCCAAGTCAATGGTCACCCCGTGCAGAATTCCGTTGCTCAAACTGCCGTGAAGGTACCTCTAATAAACCCAATTCTTCGAAAAGCAGCCACTAATCTCATTTTTGGATAAACATCATCATCTATACAAAACACCTGGCAGAATCTCTACGGAAAGTGAGCACTCACCAGCATCGGTACCAGGAAAGAACACGAACCGATCCCGCCGCTGCCAACCAGTTGATATGCCCGGGAAGGGGTTGAGGCTGCCACCTAGGATCCGGCGAAGAACGACTCTTGCGACGCGTCTCACGAACAAGTAGAAGATGCGTTTAATTTACATATTTGTAAGAGAAGTACACTGCAACGAGAGCGTACTGACGCGCCTTTCCATCACAAGAACCCAGAGCGCACTCGAGACGAGCGGGCCAGCGAAGTCCAAAGAAAGAGAGCCCAGCGCACTCCCGACACGCTCCTTTTATAGCCGTCCGTGCACGCGCTAGACGCCGACTGCGTCCAGCAGGCCTGCCGATGCGCGTTCCTCGCAGCGCGCCAAGAGATTTCCCGCGTTCCTGTGGAACGCGGACCGCGTCTGGCAGGTACGCCAATGAGCGTCCCTTGCATTCCGGTTTCTTGTATTGCCGGTTATGACAGTAGGCTGGGAACTGTTACAATGGTTGCCAGCGTCGACGTAAGCCCGCCTGGCGACCTTGTCGCTACTATCAGGGCAATGGTGCATGAAGAGCTACAGCGACAAGACACACTGGCCGACGACACCATCCATCATCAGCCTACCTGTTCATCCTACTACCCGGCGCCGTTCGCTCCTCTGCCACTATCAGTATGTGCGATGGACTTTAGCGAAGCGGGAAATTCCTGGCCACGCCGAGACTCAATCGCGCCTGACTAGTGGTATGACCGACGCCTTTGTACCGGCCCCGCTCCACAAAAGTAGGCACTTCGCGTTCAGCAAGCTGCTCCACTACGCTCGGGTAGGCGACCTTACACAGCGGAGCGCTCTCAGCAGTGGTTCGGCGAACGACCCCTGCCCGTCTGCTACAACTGTGGCGTCGAAGGCCACATTTCCAGTTACTGCCACTACCGGCAGCCGCCAAGGTACGACCGCTCACTGAGATCCCACCTGTCTGGCTTTGCACGAACACCAACGTCCCCTGGAAGCGCGTCCCACGAGATACCAAGGCCGCTGCGACACCATTCTCCGGCCTCTGACCGCAGTCTGACACCCCCGCCAGCCCCTCGCTTTAATCGGTCGCCGTCTCCGAGGCTCCGCTACCCTTCGCAGCTGCCGGTAAACTAGTCGGCGCAACCATTGGAGGTGAGGTCGCTGGACAGTCTTCGATTTCCACAGAAATGCCGCCTTTAATTTGCATGTTTCGAAATAAGGTTCATGTGCTAATCGATGGTGTCTCAACAATGGCCTTAGTGGACACAGGTGCAATCATATCAGTGATGAGTCTAGCATTCAAACGCCTTCTTGGACGAAAGGGTATGTTCCGTTGGGACCGTGCTGATACATTTCGTGGAGTGAGCGGAGATGTCTTACAACCTGTTGGTGTCTGCTCAGTGAATGTTAGTTTGGGTGGCCAGAATTTTATCGCTGATTTTGCTGTTCTCTTTCATTCAACGCATGATGAAAATCTAGGACTCCATTTCCTGAAGTTTTGTGGTGCCACTGTTGATTGCCGCACAGGAGAGATTACAGAGGATTCAAATGTTCCATTAGCGTTTTTGGAAAGCCCGCCCTGTATGGAAAGCACCCTTTGCTTGTCCATGGACACAACTGTACCACCCTTGTTAGACAAGTATGTTCCTGTCGTCAGTTCCCCTGCAACCGAGACGACATTTAATGCTACCGTAGAGCCCACTCACCTCAGCTGCATAAAGAAAAAATGTTCTAATACCCTATTTTACGTTGTCGGTTGTGCAAGGGCATACTGGTTTGTGGGTGATCGAGGCTCCAATAAACCTTCGGTACTGCCAGAGGGTCTACAACTTGCTAAGCTCCGTCAACATCAGGTGTTCTCCCTTGCCATCCTTGCAGAGAGCAGTGATTCTCCGGATAAGCCCGATTCCAATGATTTGCACCCCAGGGACACCTCTATAATAGCAATGATTGACAAGTCTTTTAGCATCAACGAGCGTAATGACCTTGCGAGTATTTTGCGCAAACAAGCTGATCTTTTCGATTGCGTACAGCTACAGGCTCCAGTGTCATTCCCTGCATTTCGTGTAAAGCACCGCAAAGATACGGCATACCATAGACCTCTTAGACAAAAGCTACACCGGGTATCGCCTTCGGAACACGCAGTGATAAATGAACAGATTGGCGAGATGCTAAAGAAGAATGTGATTCAGGAATCATGCAGTCCGTGGGCCGCTCCCGTAATGTTGGTCACGAAGAAAGATGGAACATGGAGATTTTGCGTTGACTACCGCCGTCTCAATGCCATCCCAAAGAAGCACGTCTACCCACTACCACGTATGGACGATGCTATAGAATGTCTTTCATCAGCCTCCTACTTTTCGTCTGTTGATTTGAGGTCAGGGTATTGGTAGATACCAATGCACGAAGAAGATAAAGAGAAAACGGCATTCGTTACACCAAATAGACATTTTGAACTCAATGTGATGCCATTCGGACTATGCAATGCGCCTGCAACTTTCGAGTGCTTCATGGACAACATTCAGCATGATTTAAATTGGGAAGTATGCATGTATTATCTAGACGATGTGATTTTTGGGCGCACTTTCTGTGAGCACAACACACGCCTCGACCTCGTGCTGAACTGCCTAAGCACAGCACGCTTGGTGCTCAACTCAATGAAATGTCGTTTTAAAGAGCGCCAAACACTCGTTTTTGGACACTTGGTCAACAAAGAAGGCATACGACCGGATCCCGCGAAAACGGCTGCAGTAGAAGCAACCTCACTCAGCGAAAGAACTACGCAGCTTTTTGGGCCTCTGCTCGTATTTCCGTCGATTCATCCCTGGATTTGCCAATATCGCGCACTAACTCACGTGCCTGCTTCAGAAAGGCGTGCCATTTGACTGGACTCCGGAATTTACGTCCGCTTCTTCTGAGTTGAAATTCCTTTTAACATCACATCCGATTCTTCGACACTTCGATCCTTTGGCTCCCACAGAACTTCACACAGACGCTAGCGGTGTCGGTGTAGGCACCGTGTTGGTTCAACACTTTCATACCAGAGAACATGTCGTTGCGTATGCAAGTCGCTCTCTAAGCAAGTCCGAGCGTAACTATACCGTCACAGAGCAAGGATGGATGGTAAAAGTTTATTTCATCAGAAATTACCTGAGGATGATTGCGGGTTAGGTGGCCATCAACCCAAGGTTGGCGGCGACATGTGTGGCCCACTCCACGACCCTTAACTGGACGACTGGGTATGAGCTGGTCAACACGGCTTCTCAGTGCTCAAGAGAGGGATCACGCATAATATCCACAGGTGGCGGCACTATGCTACATTCCCAAAGCATGTGATCATATATTGCCACAGCCTGACACCATTTGCATTGCGGGTTAATCTCCTCCGGGTACATTTTGTTCAACAAGTATGGGTTGGGAAAAGATCGCGTCTGCAGTTTTCTCCAGACACATTCCTGCGCCTTAGTCAACCGCTTGTGCAGGGGCGGATAAAACCTCCGCTCTAGTTTATAATGATTCGCTGTGTCAAGAAATGACACCAGCCCATCTCTCGCGGTCCTCCGCGGAATTGGCGGCTCACCTATCCGGCTAATGAAACCTCGAGCATTTAGGTGAGCCGCGTCGTTCGCAGGGTTCCCAGAGTGTGCTGGTACCCAGACAATTTCTCTTTCTCTAATTTCTCGTCCCGTGGCCCCATGCAGAAATCGTGCAGCGGTCGCCGATATTCTGCCCCTCGCTAAATTTCGGATGGCTGTCTTTGCATCACTAAAAATCAAATCCGACTGCGAATTAGTTATAGCTAGTGCTATTGCCGCTTCCTCTGCAGTTTCCGAGGAGCGGGTTTTGACCGATTCAGAGGCGACCAAGCGTCCCCGCCTGTCCACCACCACAATCACGAAAGCGTCTTTGTCCTTATATTCTGTAACATCTATATAGACTGCCGCTTTGTACTCGCCGTACTCAACGTGTAATGCTCTGCCTCTTGCCTGCCTGCGCTGCGTATGGTGAATCGGATGCATAATTTTGGGCAAACATTTTATGTACAGGGCCTTACGTAACTCTCGCCGCACCTGAATTTTAGTGTCCCCAGTGGGAGCCTCTGCTCCTATGCAATCCTTTCCAATATGAACCTGCCCGCTTTGGTTGTCGAAAGCCTAGCGTGCTGCATCACCAGATGCGCCTCCCATAATTCATCCCGGATGTTGTGTACCCCTAGTTTTAACAGCCTTTCTGTAGGCGCGTTGTTAGGCAACCCAAGCGCTGCCTTGTAAGATTGCCCGATCAGAGCCTCGACCTTACCTTTTTCTGCAGCATCCAACTTCTTATAAGGTGTCGCGTAAGTAATCCTGCTGAGCACAAACACCTGTACCAGCTTACAGAGTTCTTTTTCTTTAACCCCGCTCTTATGATTAGCGATTCTTCTGATTAGCCTGACAGTAGCATTGACCGTGGTCTTAAGTTTTTCAAGGGCCACCCTATTCTTCCTGTTATTTTGCAGATATAGGCCAATAATTCTAATCGTTTGAGCTTCAGCTACTGGCCTACCCTCTACCTTTACGCCTAACGGCGGTGGCGGAATATAGTGTCTTGCATGTAGCCCTCGGGGTTTGTCCTGAACCACAAAGAGCTCGGACTTGGGCTGAGAGCATGAAAGTCCCGCCTCCCCTGCCAACTCTTCGACAATA